TGGTCAATTCCTGACTTTGCTTGGAAAGGGGCACAGAGAAAATCAAAAATTGTGCGGTTCTGTTTCACTATGAAACACCCTGGAGTGATAATGGGGCTTTCCCCCACCCCCAGAACAGGTTTCTTCATCCGGGTCACACATATTCGGGGCTGCCTCAGATCCCCTGCTAAAAGTTCAACTTTCGGTGGGTTAAATGGAAACTACCACTAAACACCAAAAGGCTAAAAAGCTAAGGAACCGGATGGCTGGGAGCCACCAAGATTTGTAGACGCAAAGTCCTCTTCGGAGGCGGCCGCCCTTCGCCCCGAAACCGAAGCGGACTCGAGACTCGAGACTCGCCCCTGGCCTTGGCCGCGGCCTCAGGCACCGAAGCCCGGATCTGGCAGGAGGCGAACTTCTCCGCCGCGATCTGACAGCTTTGGACGGGAATATACCCAGGTTGCTACCTAGAGTCTCCGTGACCCTTTAACAATGGGGTCATGACCCCATTATTTTGGGTAATGACCCCATTTTTAAGGGGTCACGGAGACTCCAGGTACAACTGAACTGATGGCAAAGAAAGCCAACGCTGTGGGAAAATTTGAAGGGAAACCCACAGGAAACCAGAAAGAAACAAGTTCCCAAACCATCGTCCCAGAAGGTTGACAATAACTGCCCTCATGTGCTTGGACTCTGTGCAGTGACGAACATAATCTCAGCTTCTGCCCCTACCAAAAGCCACATCTTTGATTCTGGTCCATATTTTACTGGACTTATACAATCAACCGACAAATTGCAAGGCATGTGTCAACTAAATTGTACTGAAATAATATGATGTTGGTTGCTTGTCAAATGTGCTCTCCCTCAAAAGGGTCCCTTCAAGAGGAATTTGATCTTCCAGGAACACATGTCATCCTCAGAAGGAGCAGGGCAGGAAAAAGCCCAGCACTCCGAAGATACTGAATTACCCCATACCGTTCAGCTGGTTGGCAAAACACCTCCAATTCAGGAGCTCCTTGAAGAAAGGGCTCCCATGAGGGCAGCATCAAAAACATCCAGTTGACCTTTGACTCCACTAAAACAAATTCCCGTGAGTCCACCCAAACCCAAAGGCGATCCCACACGTGGTTGGGGCGGGGCCCCCCGCCCTCGCTGTGTAGCTGGGCGGCTTCTTCTTCGCCTTTCACGCAGCCGATGCCCTATACATGGGAATGAATTTGAATTGGCGACTTCGGGTAGACATCATGTAGGTTGGGACTTGCGCCCACAAACCATCGAGGCTAATTCCGTATTGAAGTTCATAGTCATATATGAGGCTGCACAAAATGATATGTTTTCCCTAGAGGTCAAATTTGTGGTGTCCCATGTCCTTCCAGCAGCAGACTACCAATCATTCTGTCAGTTGCTCAAACACACACACACACACTCGCGCGCCAAAAACAAAAGACAGAAAGGCAGACAAACAGACAAACAGGCAGACGGACGGACGGATGGACAGACGGACAAACAAACACACAAACAGAACAAAGAAACACACAATAAAACAAGCAAGCAAACAACAAAAAAAGGAAGCAAACCAACCCACCCACCAAGCAAGCGACAAACAAAGAAGCAAACCAAAACACACACACACACACTTGAATTCAAATCTGGCTACGTAGCACAAAGAACCACACTTGCTGTCTGTTTGTGGAGTGAACTTTTGGTGAGTCAACAACGACTATGAGAACTCACCGTAGATATTCTCAATTTAACTTTGCTGCAGAGCATGTAATCCACAGAAATGTCGCTTGCCATCTTCAGCTTTGTTGGCGGATGGCGCAAGTGGTGGTGACATGAAATGCCTCCATGTTCTCGGGTGCAACTTCTGCTCAAGGCTTCGACATAGAAACAGTCGATGATTATCCTCAAACTCCACGGTAAAGTACCCTGATGTGGCTGTGGGTCAAAAATAGGTGCCCGAAATGGAACCCTGGTAAATGGAAACAAAAACCAACACCTGCGGTTTTGTGGTGGATTAATTTTGACCCACACCCATGCAGGGGCTGTCACCGCTGGCTTGTGTCGACCGTGCAGAATTCAAACTTTCGGCGTTCGGAACTGTTGACTCCGCGCTGTGTGCAGCGGAACAGCATAGATTCAGTTCAGTTCACAGCTATGCAAATGTTTGGCGTGTAGGTACCGATCAATGGAAACAGTTCGTGGCTTTTCACATCATCAATGGGTTTGCAAAATGTGCCGGAGCGGGATAGCTGGAGCGACCACCAATATATCCCGCAGCAAGTAATCCCTGGAGTTGACAACCCAACTTGCAACCTTGGACGAGGGAACCATAGCCTGTTCGGGCTGGCGTGCACAGTTGCCGCGTCAATTGGCTGTCGAAATATCTCAGTTTCATGGAAGGCAACCGTTTGATCAACTGTTCGAAAAGCACCGGATGAACTTACGAATCAAACTGCAAGCAAGGTGGTGAGCAAGGTCCGAGAAATAAATCTATCTTTGAGTTACAAGTCAGATTACCAAGTGCTCCCTGCCCATAGACTCAAAACCTTGCTTTTATGGCATTCGAATTACAAGATCTATCTTCGAGTTGCCATTGCCATTTGAAAAAAGATGCCCCTGCGCGCCCCGGTTCCCCGTTCTGACCGAAGGTCGGCCTCGTCCACCTCGTGTCAGAGCAGCTCTACCGCTGAGGGACTATCCCCTACACCCAATACCTACCCTTCTTTCAGGGCACGCTACCCCTGACTGAAAAAGAAGTTATTTGCCATGTGGGAAACACGGATGTCCAAAATCTACAGTAAACAAAGCTGGCTTTTGGAGAAGGGACTGGGTCCTTGCCAAAATCGCAAAGCGATTAGTGGCGCTGGTTGGAGGCCCACTACAAATACTTTAGTATTGATTTTGAACATGAACCCAATACATCGAGGATGTGGAGAAAGGCTAATCCATTTGCCTTCTAGTTTTCGTGGTGGAGACAATTCCCATGGAGGTAGTGGGCATTTTTGACCAGGCTCAGCTCCAACCACCTCAACGGCACCTTTTCCCTCCCCATGGCGGAATCTCGGGGAAACACGGAACTTGAACATTCGCTCAGGGATACAAGACCGGCCAAGTAGGAGCTTCGCAAGCCTCAAGCTTGCTAGTTCTCAAAAACAGTTGCGTCGGGAACAAACCTAGGCATCCTCTTAAAGGAAACCACCAGTCGCATGGTTCATGGGGGGAATTCCCTCATTCCTTGAGAACCAGCAAGCAAGGCAACATGCGGCCAAACAAGACACAGGCCTTAACGGTTGAAAGATGTCTTGGGGGGTTGCAGGGTCCCTGCGTTCAGGAGTGGGTGTCCGCTCTGCAAACGCAACATCCTGAGGCTTATCCGAGAGGGTTCTACAGCTGCCACCGAAACCACTACTCCTACATATAGGTATACAACGGTATACGTTATACCCCTTGAATCATATAAGAGCCAAATTAGCTTTGCTTTATTGTGATTTCCTTCAAAAGCAGCCAACAATGAGAGTTGACTGAACAACATATTTGTGAATCCCTTTCTTTCGCTAGAACATTGATTGCCACAGCCCGCCCGGGACCAGTTGCCCAAGCAAGCCAAGAACTCCGGGGAGTCTCAGAGGGAACTCTTTTGCAGATGGCTTTCAACCGCAAAGCAAGACGTCGAAACCACTTATTTTGGGGGGTGCCTAAGTATCAACCATGTGCATTGCGGCCGGCTCCCTGCATCAATCTGACCCTTTTTCGGGACGAACCTGGTGCTGATGGCCCATTCGCAAAAACATGCACGCAACCCTTCGACCCATGCTGAACAACCTGTGCCAAGTCCCAACTTCTATGTCAGTGTAAAACTGGCCAGTGTGAGCAAACATCAGACCAAATCACTTGGCTGCTGCATGCTGAAAGCTGTAGGGGGCTCCATCATTCCCTTGCATATGACGACAACAAAACGATTCAGCAGCTGTGTAAGGATTCAAAAGACCGCCCACTTTACAAAGAAAAACAGTGTGAACCGACCAACGCTTTGGGGGCCATCACTCAACCCGGCAGCCGGGCTTGGTGCTGCGCTCATTGGCCCGACACCTGAGGATGCAGCAGAGGTCTTGATGGCCAAATCCTGCGACTGGACCAAACCTGGCGAGGTTTGGTGAGGCAAAAAGATGTGGAGGGTTTTCTGAGGGTACCCTTCTCAGATTGGTTTGAAGGGCAACCAAAAGGCACAGATCTTACATTTCTGGGGCCCCCATTTTGACACATACGTCTGGCAAAGCCGAGCTAAAGCTTTCAAGTCGGCCGGCCAGACCTCGAGACAAACCTATTTTCCGAACACATCCGTAGCAAACCAATGGGTCAGCTCCAGTTATGCGCTCGACATGTCTGGGAAATGTCAAATCTCAGCTTGAACCTTCAAGCTGCCAGGTGTGCGAACAATTGCGAAGCAACGTGTCTTCCCGGCTTCCCTGAGTTTTTGAGAGACCAGCCCTGAAGCCCGGATCAAACTCTCCATTTTGGGTCTTCTCCAAATGTGAGGGGGGGAGCCCTAAATGAAGCTAGTAGTGCTAAACCAAAGGTTTATGAACTATCATGTCCTTACAGAAACTGTGGTGGCTCCGCAAGGCTCTAAGGCAAATTCGGATACCCCCATACCCCAAGATCATTGGCAAAGTTACCAACTGGTGAATTCTGGTGTCCATTGGCTCACAAAAGTCCACAGTTCATATTGTCAGATTCTCGTTCATATATTTATAGTCTACCGTAAAAGTGCCAAACACAGGGTGTTTCTAAAAATTGAAGACCCCTCCAGGTAGGTGGCTTCCTTTTCGGTTTCCTCTTACAACAGGGCTCCCTATATTTCCCCTTGAACCGCCAAAAAGGTGATGTCTACAATCACCAAAAAGGGAAACTTAGGGAGCCCTGTAAAACCCCATGCCAAAAGGAACCATAAGTTTCTCTTAAACCCAGGTAGGCGGTTTCTTTGTTGGTTTCCCTTTGAACACCATGGCAAAACGGGGTCAGACCCACCACCTCGAGACCGAGACCCGCGCCTAGGCGCAGGGAGGGGTGGGGCGCTACGAAGCGGGGCGCCATGTGCACCGCGGAGATCATGGCGCCTACGTAGTCCGTGGTGACCTCGTGGCTCGGCTTCTTGAAACCAAAGAGGCCGCAACTCGCCTGCTTTCTTCTCTGCGAAAAGCTCAAGTTTTTGTGGTTTAATGGAAACCCGTGAGTTGGGCAAAACGTTGAAGTCCTAACATCCAAGCAAAATACACCAAAGAGAACCTCACCTCCGATCGACCGAAAGCAAAGCAAAGAGGCCATACCGTGGATGGGTCCTCGAAATCCAGCAAAGAAGCCCTGGAATGGTCTTGCCTGTAAATGCCAACACAGAGGCTCCTGGCTTCGGCTTTCAATGGAAGACCCGGCCCCTCCATTAGACACTTGGGAGGAGTTCGGGGTCTCAAAACCTGGTTGTTTGAAGGCCCCAAATCAATCGGGAGCCTCTGGGCAAACAAAAGAGAACCTCACTTCCGGTCGAGCGGATGGGCCAAACAAAGTCAACACAGTGGTCTTTTGGGAGGGCTATATATCCAAACTCTACCTCGAGGCCATACTGTGGATGGGTGCGAAATCCATGTCGCACCACTTTGAAACCTTGGCTGAAACCATTGTTTGCTGGTATTTACAGGGTAATCATCATTCCAGGAATCCTTCGGAGGTGCAGCATTTTGTCCATCCACAGTAGCCCCACTTCCGAGCGAGTGGATGGGCCAAGCAAAGTCAACACATTTGTGGTTTACTACTAAAATAATCCAAGCCAGTGACTAAAGCCCAGGAACTCAGGGAGTGAGTAACAGGGCTCCATTTGTTCATTGCCAGGTAGACATTTTACCCAGAGGCAACCACTGGGTTTAAGTCTGTTGGGGAATCAACTTGCGACATGGCAACCGCAACCGGCTTGACAAAAACAACATGGAGGATACCCCCCCCCTTCCTCCGCCCCCCCCCCAAAAAAAAAAAAAGAAAAAAGGGAAAAAAACAGCGGCAATATTCTCTGGTTGTTATTGAGGGTCTTACCTTTAGTCCTATCTTGTGTGACGTTGAGACATACACATCTTTTTGATCTCAACCAAAAGTCATGTGCTTGATTCTGGCCCATTGTGAAGTTCAACATGTGAGATAGTTCCAAATAAGCTCTCGGCCACTAGAAACGCAGGAGGTTTACGTTAAAACAGTTGGCCGTGGCTCAAGCACATGTACCAAATGGCAGCTTGGTAATGGAACCAAAGGCTAAACCTGCCGTTTGACCTAGCTTTAATTTTGAGCCACACCCGATTGATACTGGGGTCTAGAAGGATTGGAATGCTTTCAAACAAACCTCACCTGACGACACTTGCCGCGGGACCGGTTTTAGAACGGTTTTCTGGTCCGGGAAGGTTCTTGCTCGAGGCACCAGCCGAAAAGGAAGGCCCAGCTTGCTGCTTCGGAAGAATACACATATGTTGTTGTTTTTTTCTTCTTTCTCTTTAAAGTAATGTATATATATACATATATATATATACATATGTATATATATATATATGACTCCCAAAAGCTGAAGGAAGGCGGCAAGCTTGGGCGCGGAAACTGCACACAGACTAGGCAAAGAATCGGCATATAGAGTTGCCCACAATTCGCCCCCTTTTACACGTACTTGAAAGAACAAGTTCTACGAGATCCTACTGGGTGTCCTCTTGGCTTCCTCTCAAATACCCACCACACAGTCGCCCACACCCTCTGGCTGGGCTGCCCGGACGGCCAGGCGGCTGCGCACGGCGGGGAACATGGTGAAGTTCCGGCCCGAGACTTTGGCCCCGGGCCTGGATTCCGCGATCCGGGGGGCGGTGTTGGCGGTTTTGGGGGTCGTTGGGGGGGGGGGGGAAGCGGTCATTTGGAGGGGCAAAAATTGGTGCAAAGGATTTGTTTGTGTGTGTGTGTGCGTGTGTCTTTTTTTTGGGGGGGAGACACCTGGGGAGGGAGGTGGGCATGTTTGTTTGCAAAGAAAGGGATGGGGGGTCCTTTGAGGGGAACCCAAGAGGAGGTTGATGGAAACAATTGGTTTGAACATGTAAGGGGTTGGCCCAAGGCTGGCAGTTGTGGCCATGTGTGTTTTCCTCCTATCGAAGTGCATTGCTTGATTCAGAAACACGTCTGGGATGGTTTGAAAGGGAATTCAAAGGGAAACCCGCCGTTCGTGGGGGATCCCTCAGACACGCCCATATTGGTCCAATCAAGGCTGGGATTTCTAGGGGGCGGATCTCTGCCCAACCCAACAATCTGTACCAGAGTGGCCTGCAGATTCAGGGTTTCGCCCCAGTCCCTCGTTGGAAGCGCATGCTTATCACAGAGAGGGAGAGCGAGAGAGAGGGAGAGCGAGCGAGAGAGAGAGAGAGATAGGAAACGACAAGACACACACTGAGCCAACAGTCAGACTGGTCCAAAATGGCTAAGACAAGAAGGAAACACAGAGCAGCACAACCCTCATCAAAGGCTTGAGGCACGGATTCCATTGTTTGATCATTTGGGTGTGGCTCAAAACTAAACAGCTGGGGTTACGCAGGTTTTGGTCCATGTTCCCACCAACCAGGGTTCCACTTCGGGTGCCCGTTTTGTGAGCCACAGCCATTTTGAGTCAGTGATAGAATATTTTGTTGAGAGATCCAGGGTCACTGGACCCGTATCGCAAGCCGCCAAGAGCCCGGCAAACGCTCCTTCCTCGGCGAGTCACAAGGAACATGGATCTGCTTTCAGCGTACAATGCCACTGAGAGCATCTTCAGGCTAGACTACCAAAACCTAAAGTTGTGAGGGTCTTGGATTCCAAATACGGCCCGCAAGTCAAGCTCAGAGGAATCCGATGTTGAATGCTTGTGAACTGCATCCCATGTTCAATACGTAGCTGCCTCCATACAGAAACAGTCGTCATCAAGCTTGTCCACGCAACGCGCTGGTAACACGGCAACCACGTGGAGAGGATATGCCGAACCGGTGTGGCCGGAAGGAGACCAACCATTTGTAGGCGTCTCTCCTCCATTCTCGGAAACGTCCAATGATAAAATGATAACTTATGGCGTTTCTCTTGCTCCTTCTTTCAATGCTTGGTGGATCTGGGAAATATACTAGTACCAAACCGCTTTCCGGCAACCTTCATCATGGCTGAGCTCGTTTTACCAAGAGGTCAGTTCGTTCTGGCTGTGCCTCTGGGCAATTTGTGCACTTTCCGATTTCTAAGAGAAACCCTGCAAAATTGAAAAGGCGACTTCTCCCGATCAAAAGGCAACTTTCCCCGACCAAAAGGCGACTTTTCCGACCGACTGTGCAGACATCTTTGCAACAACTGCCAAACGGCGCTTTGGCAATGAAACGGGATGTCCTAAACGAAACGCCTCAAACATTTGCATTTTCGGCAAGAGGCAGAAAGATGCGTACATGGCGGATGCAAGTGTATATATATATAGTTGTAGACGCTGGTATGACTTGCTTGCAGCTGGTACCCTATTTCAGGTCAGGTGCATACAGGAAAAGGAAAGCCGCCACGCCGCCAGGCCGCCAGGATTTCAAAATGATTCAAAAGGTGTTGTTGAATCAAATAAACCAAGAGGGAAAAGAAAAGCGAGACTTGCACCCAGTCCGCCCGGGATGGGGAAAACGAAAGTGCACCCTGCTTTGTATTGGTGGAGCTTAAACGGAGACCCCTGCGAAGTAGGAAAAAAGTCACCACGACGAGCTTGCTTCAAGGCTCGGGATCAAGTCCAAGATGTAGCCCTTGTCTTCATGCAGGCACGCCGCCACCGTCATCTGGCGGATGGTTGCGAGTTTTCTTCCACGTGATCCGTGGTTTGGATGGCTCCAATGCCTGGATTGGAAGGTGAAACAAAGGCTCCTAGAAAGCTGCTTGGACTCTGATGACAGGTTTCGGGAATGAACCTAAGGATTCCCTTGAAGGAAACCATAGGGGATGCTTTTTCTCGGGGTCATTCCATTTCTCATGCCCTGCCTCTTGAACCAGCAAGTCATTTCAGAATTCTTCAGCTCCGTGTGGGCTCGCAGATTCGGATTCCGTATCCAAATCGAGCAGCGAAGTCAGAGGTGGCCGAGTGATCGGCGGAGTTTCGCGTTTTGACCGACTGCCCTTGTGAACCACCGCCACGTTTGTCACCAAATAAGCAGGAACCATCGAAATCTGTGGAATCCATCTACAGGGATCCTTACATTATACACCTGAACATTGCCTTGTAAATGGTGGTTTCCCTTTAGTTTGGTGTTGAAAAAGCAACATGTTTCAAACGGTTGCAACATGGAGATCTTTTAAGGAGCCCTGATCTATTTTCAACCAAACCCGGGACAAAGGCCTATGGCAAGGATGTAAGAAAAGTGGAATGGGGGGCCCAGCTCCATTTATCTAGTCCCTACCAAACGGAGAATGCAACTCATCGAATTACAAGGGGTCCACATTCCATTGTCAAAGGTGTGGGGAGTTCACAGGGCTGGGTCAAGCCCGAACCTGTTTCAACGAAACAACCTTTGGTACTGCCAGGGACCATGGCTTATGCAGATGCTCAAAACAGTGGATCTGCACGGATTACCAGAGTTCTCAACTTGGCAGAGGGGGATTTCTGGCAAAGGACCCAACAAAAATGTTCAGAGCTGACATCAACGGCCGCAAGTTACGAGTGGCTGAGCTCATTCCGCCGGGGCGCCGTGAACACGTTGTCCCCGGCCGCCAGGATGGGATCCGGGGCATCCGCATCTGCGTGCCTGGCACCACCGGCCACTGGAAACGGATCGAAGCCGAATGCCGAATGGCCATGGGCTGCGCCAAAAGAAAAAAACGGAACCTCAACATGTCTTAGTGGACCCAGACCCCAGCTATTCAGTTGTGAGCCACATCCTGTCCAAATACCAGGACCGTTGGACATGGAGGAAACCCGCAAAAGTGCGGTGCTTGGGCGCGCAGCTGGCCTCCAGCGAGCTGTACGCAATGAAGGCCGAGGGTCTGTTGGGAGGGCTGTGTATCCAAAACTACCTCCAGGGTGGACTGTGGAAATCCGCTCGCACCACTTAGACACCATGGGAAACTATGTTTGTGGGTATTTTCAGGGGGAATCATGCTTCCAGGCTTTCGTGTGGTGCAGGATTGCGTCCATCCATAGTGTTGCTAGAATCCTCTCACCTCTCCTCTTTGTCATCCAGAGAATGGGTCAAACGGAAGCCCTGGCTCCAGATTCCAATGCATCCCAGCCAACCAGTTCGCCTTAGTGAAACCTTGGTTCCCTTAGCCCCGGGAAACCATCTACTTTGTCCAATGGAAGTGGACAGGCCCTATGATAGTCTTCCAAATCCTTCCAAATCCACGTCCCAAAACCGGGGTTTCTTGGGTCAGGGATCGACTCGCGCGAACGCCAACCCGCCTGGCGATCACCTTCTCCACGCCGGGGGAGGTCTTCCAAGCCTCGAGAAGAGGCCGGCGGCTCCAGACCTATGGGGATTTCCATGGGGGGAAGAAGAAACCCTCCTTAGAGGAACCAAGGCGGAACCCCTCCCTTGTTTTGATTGGAACCTGCCTGGCCTTTGTGCGGGGGTGCTTGATATAGAAAGAGAGCCTCCTACCAGTACAAGGGAAAAGGACGGCACTCGAAAGGCCAAATCTGAGACAACCCCTGGAGAGAAACATAATGAAGAGAACCAGGGCAAATTGAGAGGGCCGAGGGAAGCCGTGCAAAAGAAAAGGTCTAAACCGCGCTCGTACTTTCCCGGTAAGTTCCAAAGTGAGCTCCCACTGCTGAGATGGGATGAGTGCCAAAAGGACAAGTGAACTATAATTCAAGCCGAATCGGTTCTTCAGGGCAATCGGTTCTTTCAGGAGCCACTTCTTCAAACATGATTTTGACGATCACTTTTCAGATGCCGTATAGACATGAGAATGAACATCGCAGACAAGCACCACGCCTCGCCCCAAAGCACAAAGAAAAGGAGCTTACGAGCCGAAAATCCCCTCCCATCCGAGTGATGGGAGCGTCACACCGTCACACATGGAGTCTGAACAAATATCTGCGAGGGTCCACCCGTGGCCCTGACTTCACGTGGAAGTCACTGAAACAGCTGAGCTTGGAGAAGCTTTCAAGGATGCATGCCTTGTCACCACTCTTTGTGGATGCAAACAAAAGGGAACCTTTGAGTTAAGCCACGAGGACCCTTTGTACCGGCACCTTGCCATCAACAACATCAACACAAGCTGCTACACCGAAGGATGTGCCCTTGATTTAAAAACACAAGTAGTGGGGGTGGAAAAGGTAAAGGAACTGCTCAAACGCGAACCCACTGCAACCCAACAAGCTATGTGTCTGTTCATTTGGACTATGTGTCTGCATGCTAGTCTGGTGGCTGAACAGTAGTGCAGGGCTGTCAAAGCCGGCTGGCTTATTTCATCAGCATCAGCATTTCCCTTCTCTCTAGAGCTTGCTTTCCCCGGGTAGTCACTATGCAAGACGTGCCTCGCTTTTGGCTTTCGTTTCGCTTCGGTCGCTGGGTTCCTGGCACGGAAGTAGTGAATATCGCACAGCAAGTTGTTGATCACATTCTTCTTCGTCACCTGCGATGGAGTCCCCGGAATCGCGCGTTTTGTTGGGAGTTGGAACAAAATCCGGGAACAGGCTGACATGACGGCAAACATTTCTTCTTGCGAAAGGGCCTCCTGCACTTTAGCTGGTGGGAGTCGAAGTATCATTTCATTTCTCCTCAAGCCATAAAAAGCCACACACACACACCCAACCATCCCCAACCGCCCCCTTTGCGCGAAAAAAACAACAACAATCGTTTTCCACGTCACCGAAACCCAACGCCCGCCTCCAGGCCGACATACCCGTCCACGCTGACGCGCTGATCCATCTTGCTGTAGTCTGCCTCCACCTGAAGAGGCGAAACCCCAGGCCCGACCCGAGCGCCGAAAGCGAGAAGAAACCGGGCCGAAGACGTATACGGCGTCACGAAATCAAATGGAAAAGAAACGCAGAAAAGAAACCACAAGAACAAAAAAGCTTGGTTGCCTTTGCATGCATCCAAACTATCCATATCCAACATGATGCTCACTGGAACAGACCATGGCACAGGAGGGGTTCGGTCGGACACGCATGCATCTTGTGTTGAGGGTACCTTTTGGCATCTGTTTGAAGCGAGAACAAAGGGACAACCACCATTTTTGAGGTCATTTATTGCAAACACCCCTGCTGATTGGTACATTTGCGAGGAATCTCCGACTACATGTACCGTGTGAGAGTCGAGTCGTTTGCACTTTGTTCTTATGATTGTCCAAGCCTGTAAACAATGCTTGTTGCCTTACCAAGTGGGATGTTTATCCAGTTTATCCACGTGTGGTTGCTACCAGGCAGTTGCAAATGTGGTTCTCCACCAAGTGATTGCAAATGTGGTGCTCCCCAAAAGGCAGTGACCAGGAGCATCTACCCAAACATTTGTTGATATTCCCAGTGACCTGACCCAACCCTGATGCAAGTGGGCCATGGATATGGACATATCCGTAGGCCTGAGTTGGTATCAGAGGGGTCGCCAAATCAGCTCGAGGGAGTGCTTGTCACCCTGGCAACACTTCCCGTTTTAGGTCGGTTCGCAACCCTCCGAAACCCTGCCTTGCGTGGCGGCGCGCCGTCCCAAGAGCAACAGATCCTGGGCGAAAACGCCGACAGAACAGCCGTGTGCACTGGATCAACAAAGTACGTCAGACAAATTGTGCTTCTTCCTCATGTAGGCCTTGACAACCTGGCAGAAGGGGCTATCATCCTTACTACTGATTGTTTGTGTATACCTGTATGCATAAGTATACATAATCCCTCATGCTCGCCTCTCACCGTACCCAAACAAAATACGAAATGCTCGTAACCCCATTCCTGAGACTTAGATTCAATCGGTGCCTCAAGAATCAAGACCATCAACAAACGGAAAGGAAGTCAAGGCAAGTTGAATCAACACTTTAACAAAAGGGCAAGTTGTATGGGCCTGCAATCCACTTCCACCTGGCGATTCGCGGCAGATACCATTCCTCATGCAAGTTGATTTGCAGAGCTTTGTTTCAGGCTCCTGATGTCATGGGTCCATGTGGGCCTCACCATCAACCTGAATGAAAATGGTCATTTGACAGTGGTCCATGGATATAATTACATGCGCATGTGCTACTGTTTCTACAGTGGTGTCAATCATCCATAGCACAGCATTAAATCAAGATCAATTGTAATCCCGCAAACACATTGACAACCAACATCTGCTCTGTCCTCCTTACCGTTGGGTGGAGGGAAACTCCCAGGAAGCAACATAGACATATCCGCCACAGCTGAGGAGGTCGCTCCGTGTGTCCTTCCACCTTAGCGAAAGATGTCGGGCGTGCCTCTTTCAAATGGGCGTGACTATTCTTGAGGGTACCTCTTTCTTGTGGCTTTCAAAAGGAAACCAGCCAAGAAAAACAGAAGTCCAGGTGGTATCCCCAACAGCCCCCGGAACCCCCTGGAACCTTCCGCAACCCTCCCAGAAAGCTGCCCCAAACTTTTCAAACCACCCCAAAGTCCCTGGGCAGAAACGCTTTCTGCTGTTGGGGAGTTGAGGGGTCCCCCCAACAAAATGACACCCAAACGGCGCTATCTCGAACCTGGCCTGGCATTGGCAACCAGCAGTCCTACCTTACTCCTTCCATGACTGCCTTACAAACCAAAAAGCAGTCAAGCAAAACAGCAAGCGCAACTTGCCTGGACAATGTATTTTACGGGCCTTCTCGGCATGCGCAACGGCCCCGTAGTCACAGGCACACCAAAGGCCCGAGCTTAATCAGTTACTAGACGAAAACTACGCGACTTAGATGTAGTCGATAAGAGCTTTCCGACGCGTGGCACCTTCCAAACTAGAAGCCATGGGCAATCTCACGTGTACTTTGAGATAGGCATGAAACTCATGCGTTGTGCACGACTGCCTTGAGACTCAGAGCAAAGCAGTTGGTCAAGTGGATCCAATTGGCTTTTTCAAAGGACACTTGGCGTTCTCCAAGATCCTAGCATTTCACCCACAGGGGCACGTGTCACAGAGTTCATGTGGATTCCTCCCAGCGTTTGCCCCAGCGCCTGAGCTGTGTCATAGGTTGACAATCATTCCCAAAGCTGAAAAGAAGGGCTTGTCTACAAAATGGCCGCTTTTCGGGCTCTGCCGCCGTTTCAAGCCGCCCCTCTTTTTTCAGACACCCCCCCCCCTCCGCCCAAGGAGTGACTCGACACCTTCACACCGAGCGCGGGGCGTAGGAGATGGCCACATGGAGCCACTCCCCAGCCATGGGAGGCCTCGGATGCGTGGCATGCGTGGGGTTTAGTGGGGGGGGAGAAAGGGGGGCGGGTATCAAAATGGGCTTGGTTGGAACTGGGAAACTTGGAAATGTGGGTAGTTGGGAAGTAGGTTTTGTTTGAGTTGAGTTTGTCTGTCCCTCGTTTTGCAGAGGTGAAAAAAGGCTCTTGCGTGGGCACGGGCTTGGTTCTTGTCGATTTCATACTTTGACTCTAGGTGATCCCCAAGTGGGACAAAACCCAAAGCCTCCCCCCTGCTTGGTTTAGTGGAATCTTCATGGAAAGCTTCTCGGCAAAGTTCTGAGAACCTCTGTGGTAGGGGGCGTAATGTTCCTACAAGTCACATTCATCCCGGGCGAGCTTGCTCACCAAGCTAAGCTCATGTGTTCCTTGGCTTCTTTGGCTCTCCCTTAAACCAACCTGACAAGGCACCTTCAAAGCCTGAGCTAGACTTAGGCCCCGTGCAAGTGATTTCGCAGAAGGGCAAATTGTTCAGAACACCCGAAGGGCAAAAGTTAAAAAGGCGAGCCTTGGGTTTGGCTGTTGGCTTTCAAAAATTATGGATTTAAGGGGGGGCCCGTGTACTGAAGGGTGGGGCAGTTTTCAGTGTTGCTGAAACCTAATGATTTTCAAACTTGTGTGTTTTCGAAGCTGAACTGCCCGAAAAGGCTATGTATTTTTGGAACAATGCAAAATACGGACTTGATGTCATTGCCTTGTTTGAGCCTTTGAAACTCACACCCGGTGAATGTGTTGTTTTGGGCATTTTCTGACTCAGATCACACATGTTGCAAACCAGAGCAAAATCAGTATAAACTGTGGGTGGCACACACCAGACCATTTCAAGGAGTCAGTTTGTGGGGGGCAAACTACGGATTTATGCAAATTATCAAGGTCGCCCGCTGCACTTAAGCACGTTTCTGGCGCGTTTAGCCCGATTGAAGCAGGGTGTGAACAATTGGTGAGGATAGACATGTTTTCAGGATCTGGCGAGGTCAGCAATGAAAAACGCGGCACATACCCCAGTTTCAGCAACAGCCTTCTTCAGAACCCCCACGGAAAATACGGAAACACCCATGGATCCAAGCAATTCAGTGCAGCAAGGCCCAATATCAAATTAAAATGTACTCACGCGTTGCAAGGTCAAAAAAAGGCAGCCCCATACAAACAAAGTGGCGTGGGAACATCAACAACTGAGCCCATTTATCAAGAGACGATGCAAATTTACTGTCACGCAACGTGCCTTTACAGTGAGACCAGCATTCTCACGACTTTTGCTCTGCCGGCTTGAGATTCAACATACGCCGCAACGCAAGTGACTTTTACTTGGGCCCAGCCAACAAAACTTTAGTGCAAAACTCAACCAACATGCCTTCAGTGCGGCTAAAGGGCGGATCAAATTCCTTATGTGCACCACCCAAATCTAAGCTAAGTCACCGGCAGCCAAAATTCCATAAGTGCGGCCAAAATTCCTTAAGTGCAGCCAAAATTCCTTGAGCGCAACCAAAATTCCTTAAGCGCAGCCAAAATTCTTGAAGTGCAGCCAAAGTTCCTTAAGTGCAGCAAAATTCCTTAAGTGCAGGGTTAATTAGCTTAAATTCAGGGGGGGGGGTGCACTTAAGGATTTTGACCCTGCTCGAGATGAATTTGGTGGTGAATTTAAGGGTTTTCGGGGCTCAAAAGCGCTGTTTCAGCATCTAAAACCACTAAATTCACCACCAGATTCATCTCGAGCAGGAGCCAAAACCCTTAAGTGCACCCCCCCCCCTGAATTTAAGCTAATTAACCCTGCACTTAAGGAATTTTGCTGCACTTACGGAATTTAAGCTGCACTTAAGGAATTTTGGTTGCGCTTAAGGAAATGGTGGCTGCACTTAAGGAATTTTGGCTGCACTTAAGGAATTTTGGCTGCCGGCTATTTGGGCTTAAATTCGGGGGGGGGGGGTGCAATCAAGGAACTTCGGCTGCGCATGAGGAATTTCCGGCTGCACCGCTCTTTTTTCTGCACGTGCTAAAGGAATTTTGTCTGCACTCAACGAAATTTGGCTGCACTAACATTCTTGGCTGGCCGTGCTTATGGAATGTGGCCCGGTGATCAAGGCAGGAGCTCCCACTTGAGTACTAGCTGCCCTGACTACAGCACCATCTCCATATGCTTAGCGAGCCCCAGTCTCACGGCCTTCACTCTAAGCTATAAACTGTCAACCATCATCCAGCATTCCCACAAATCCTTGCCATCACTCCCCATTTGGCAAAAAAAAACAACAACATTGTGCACTTCTGACCTGCGACGTTTTTGATTGCGTCACGGCTCGGTCTCACCATGTTAAGGTTGCTCAATGATTCAGCAACATTTGCTCTTGTCACACAAAAAGCCACCGAATCTTGTTTCAGACAACGGGCCGACTCTTAAGTACACGGGCCCCCTTAAATCCGTGATGTTGAAGGATTTCTTGACTCAGCGATTTTGCCCCCCCCCCCCCCACCCCCCGGGTAATTCAGCATTCAATAGAAAAAGCACAGTGACCCCACAGGATTTGACAGGCTGCCCTTCCAGTAGTGAATTACTTTGACGAAGGCGTTTGCATCCATTGTTGCTGCCAAATGCACTTTCTGTAGCGCAGCCGGTTTTTGCATTGCTTTCACGAGTGCCCAAAACAAAATAAAACATTCAACCGTGTCCCGGTTCTGACATGTGCTCCGATCAGAGGTGCAGACACAGGAGCAGGGCTTAAGTGCACGGGTCGGATATTGAAATTAGCTTAAATCCATAATTTTGAAACCCCACAGGTTTGGCCATACAAAGGACAGGCCCGTTTTTGCTGGGTTGCTCAAAATCGCAGGGATGGATCCCTAGTCCCAGTCCGTATGCCGCAGTGGGACATATCGCACGGGAAACTACAACCATATAGCAACAGGATGAAGGACTGATTTTGACAGACGCTCTTGCAACCACCCCTCCCCCCAAAGAAAAGGTTGCCTTTCAGGTCTGGTGGAAAGGAAATGTCTATGGCCAAATCGACCCTTCGCTTTTCAGGAGCCCTATGAGGTTCTTGAACAACTGACTGGCGCGTTAAAATGGTTTTTCCTTTAAGGAGCTCTGCTTGAATCAACCGCTACCCCGTCTTTTGCCTGGGCCACCGCGCACCATAAGCTGCGTGGCCTGCCCGTTGTAGCAGAAGACGATGTGCCAGGCCTTCGCTTTGGAAGGCGGGCAAAAAAGCTTGCCTGTCTTAGTTCAGCGACATCTGAATTCCTGGTCCTCAGGGAGGCTGGGGGCTTGATTTACAAAGCATTGGGGTTCTTGTAGGAACTTTGGTTTGTTTCCAAATACCTTAAATTGCAAAAACAAACGGGGGGGCACAAAAGCTTGGCTTCCTTTTGGTTTCCCGGTAAAACAGCTCGATGACCTTGCAAAATGAGTGCACCAACAGCCCTCCAGTGGACTTCCATGAGGATTATTGGGTGCCTTTTTGGGAGTTGTTTTCGAAGGGAAACCCTTTGGGTGTTCGTTGCCAAGTTAGTAAGTGATTGGCAACCGCTCGGTTGTAAACTAAGTATAAGTCCGCCAAGGCAGTCCATCTATGCCAGTTCTGGCTGTTTATATCCGAGGTCAGGTTGGTGGGGTTGTGGTGGGTAACCACCCCGGCGGGCAAATGGTTGGTCACTTATATAATCCTATTTAGTGAAACCCGGAAGCAGGACCCTCATGTATGCCATTTGAGGGACTTACTAATTTGGCTAAGCACTTCCTAACTGGACTGGTCTTCCCAGTAGGGATGGTCTAGGGATATTATACCGACAACCAGTAGCCCCGCGCTGTTCCGGACAAAGAGTAGAACCCCAGAAAGGCTTGCTTCCGATTTCCCTCCAACCTTCAACTGTCCAAAGTCACACCTCCCCATTTTTCCCGCTAAGTTCCCCTGACCCATGCAAATTTTGAGACCCCCTCACCAAGCAACCAGCTTCCGCCCAAAGACGCCTCCCCTTCCAGCTGCTTCGAACCCATGGGACCTCCAGCCAGCCGCTCTGGCGCGCGAGAGCCCGCCTGTGGCTTGCCGGTTTGCTCCCCCGCCAGCATGCCGTCCTCCACAGAGCTGAGGCTGGCCGCCTGCCAAGGCAACCGATCGCAACCAGCTGCCAGCTGGAAGTCTCAAAGCTACGCCCGAGGGGCCAAATCGAAATCGAAATGCACCGAAGCGATGATCCCGAAACGATCCGAGTCGCATGTCTGAGGCCTCCAGAGCAATGCGGAACTGGTCCCTGTCCGCCAAGCCCTTCTTGGCCTAAGTCGCTCGCTCAAAAGAATAGGTGGGGAACATCGGGTTCATATCAATATTTAGATGCCACCGACTCCAACGCAATGATCAGTTGCCCGTTGACAATAAGGTTGAAGCAAGGTCAAGTTCTAGAAAGAACAGCTTGCCAGTGGGCTAGCTTGTTTTATCTAGTCTCATAGAGTGATATGCTTCTTGCCTCGAACCATGTGGTGATTTCCTTGATTTGTCGCGCGTTAACCCACACAACTTTGGATCGTTTCGTGCAAAGCAAATGAAGAATACTTTTACCAAAATCCACACCCAAAATATGGACTCATCCATTCATGGTTGAGAGTGATCCCCCCCCTCATGTCCAATCACTCATATTGCGTTGTGGCTCATGTGCTCAGGTCTTTGCTGGCCTCTAAATTCCTTAAAACACGTGCGATTAAATAAATTGCATGACATCCTTTCCCGTGCATCCTGATGAAAAAAGGCCACACCATTTGGGCAAACAGGCGGGGTCAAAAGACAAGCACATTCCCTGGTAATTTCCTTTAGATCAACTCCAACAAAATCGTGGTTGTCCAACAGAATCCTGCAGATGTCCTTGCTAACGCATTTGTTCTCAGAACCAACAATGAGAAACAACCGAACGCCAAGGAACCAATCTGGGAACCGTATAGTAAACATGTGTATTTCTGTGACCATTCAACCTGTTCAAGATTTACAGCATCCACGTCATGCTTGGCCTCGGTTGATCCTCTAGTCTTTGGACCTCCAAAGCATCAGATTCGAATGTTGAGCTCAATGGCCAAGAGACAACGCCGAAACCATCACAATCTAACCTGCAAATGCAGTATATGATCTGTAAGTACTGGGTGCTAGCTAGGGGGTCACAAAGAAATTAAAACATATCCCTCCCCCATCCCCCCGTTTGGTTCCTGCGAGGAAAAATATGAGCTATACGCTGTTCAGCACCGAAATACAACATCAAGGTCTTCCACAGCCGTCTGAGCCTCAAACAAAGCAGGCCAGGATGCTTTGGCACTGGCGGCAGCGACGTGTCGGGGTTGCGACGTGTCTAGTTGACCCCTATCCGACGCCAAGATTGCATGCCAGCCTCCAATGACATGATACGCGTTTGTCGCAAAATGAGGGGACCCCGAAAATGGTTGGCGCCCTTTTGTTTTCCTTTGATTACAGTACTCCCTTGGTGTCCCTCTTCAAAGGGCCCAAGGGATTTCCCAAAAAAAGGACATGCCCACATTTAAAGAGGCGACTGGTCGAGAAACCAAGGGACACGTCCGGGGCGTTGTGGGTGGATGCAGTTTGGTTCACCAAGCAGCCTGAATCGAGAGAGATACCCTCTACCAAAGCAACCTGCTGCTGGTCTACTGGTTGTGCATGCTCAGCTGAGCTCAGGGACAGAGTGAACAAAACAAACCTCCATCATGAAAGTGTTGTGTGCTGTTCATCCCATTTAGTGTTGAACAACTCGAGGCTCACAGAAGTTGGCGCATGTCGTGCAACTCAGGTCGTTGGGTCTATTCAAAAGGCAACAAACGCTGTGGGATTGCATTCCTGTGAATAGCCTGGGCATCCTGACCATGATGTTACAGTATATAATGCGCTTACAGCCTGTCGCAATGTACTTGCTCACGCCTTGCCTGACCCCCCTCCCCCTTCAGCATTTGGCACTGCCTTCGCAATGTGCCCAGCTCATCTCGCGCAGTGTTCCCATGTGGCATTGGGCATGGCCTACTGACAACTACCAGGCGCGGAACACCAGCCCCGACCGTGTCCCTCCACTTTCGAACCATCAAGGAATGGGCCACGCATCAGCAAGCCATCTCAAGGCAGCTTGGAGTTGGCGCTGCTACGCAACAGCCCCTTTCTTGTCCACCCAGTTTTGGATAGACAACGAAACCCTGCAAGTCACCGGCAAAAGTGATGTTTCAGCTGGCCCAATTATACTTTAGGGACCCTGTCAGACACGCAAAAACCAGCAACCAACCACTTGCCACCAGCAACCAACCACGGGCAACAAAACCAACCACCAAACCCACCACCCAATGACCACCAGCAACCACCAGCAACAAAACCAACCACCAAACCAAGCAACCAACAACCACCAGCAACAACCGAAAACCGCGCCGGCCTTGCCTTGGCGCCCTCCTCCAAGAGGGCGTAGCCCCTGAAACGCAGCTTGAAGTCGATGGTGAAGTTGTCCTACGTGGAATCGAACGACCCCGGACGAATGAAACCTCTGGATGAATAAATTAGCAGGGTGCCCCCTCAAAACAAATCTAGGGGTTGATTGATCAGGGTCTAATGTTCAAGCCCCCCAAAGAAGCCAAATGCCTGAAAAGCCCGCCACATGCCACAAATGCCGCAAACTAACAGCAGAACAGCCAGAACGAATATAATATGCCCCGATCCCGGATCCCGATGCGTAATCCGTAGTCGGGCACCACAAGGGTAACACCCTCCAGGTTGGTGGATACGGTTTGGTCCACCTAGGCCAAGGGCATTTCCGGTATGGGTTTTGGAGGCCATAGAGGTTAGATACTGTGTATAAGGGGTGTCTACCGCGGTACAAAGCTTATATTGGTTGCACGAGAGCATTCATACCTCCACTCACTTCCTGAGTGGATTGGTCAATCAAAGTCCGAACTTTCCATTTACCAGCCAAAGTGACTAAAGTCCAGAAACTCAGAAAGTGAGTCCAGAAGCCACTTCGAAGCCATGGGGAACTATCATATTTACAGGGGAGTCGAATCGGAAACCAGGGTTTCTGATCTGTGCGAGAAGTGGATTTCGCAGCCATCCACGGTACCTCCAAAACCTACTGTACCTGGCCATGGGTCAAAATACCGCACCCCCAGTGAACAGTGCACCTACCAACCAAAATGGTACCATTGGTTTTGACCCACAGCCACCTGGGAAATGCCAACTCGCGATGGTTGGCTTTGAACCGAACCCCTCCTCCGAGATGCCCAGCCGGAACGGCAGCTGCATGGCCTTGACTCGGAGTGTGGTTTTTTTCAGAGCCCACGGATTTGCGTCGGAAAGGGCGCCGCTTTGTTGGACGGTTGGTTTGGTTTGGTTTGGCTTGGTTTGGTTTGGTTGTTTGCAGAGTTGTTCGAGAGTTGGTATTTCAATTATTTGGCAGTTTCGGTATGCGTGTGTTGGTATTCTAATGGAGTGGCAGTTGTTTTTTTGGTAGCTGATTTTGAGTAGCGTGTGCACATGGCGACGGTCTCAATATAGCACTTAGATCCAATTGAGTCAGTTGCTAAACAAAACTGACAGTGGCCTGAGTGAGCTACACTGCTTGGCTAAAGGCTATCAACCAACTATTTCATGTTGACCCCATATTCAAAACCCCTGTTGTTGATATGGGGGTGGTCCCCTCTCAAAGTGATGAATCCCCACTAAAACCAGGGACACCCCCAGAGCAATAAACAGGGGTTCATCAACATAGGGTCAACATTACACTGGAACTCCTCCCCAGAAAAGAGAAAGGACAGCACTGGAGGTCGGGGGCAGTGCTTCGGATTTGCATTAAACCCATGGAGCTTCAATCGAGCTGCATCTTGAAGACAAGGGTAAATCGTTGCAGGGGCCAACTGGTGAAGAGCGAGGGTCTAAAGGGAAACTGGATTGAACCGTTACTGGGGAAAAGCACAGACAAACGCCTGCCCCTTCCATACAAATGAGTTCCAGCCCCTAGCACCAAACGAATCGCGCCTGGGAAAGAGCACCAAACAGTCCTGGGAAAGGAGAAGCTTGATGTGTAGTTATTCTCCCGGTCGCAAAGGCAATTCTGGAAGGTCTCTATGAAAATAAATGGATTCTTCACGGCTGTCAAATTAGCCTGGCCAGTGTTTGCTGCCTCAATAAAAACTGAAATCACATGCATCGCCTGTCATCAAGGAATCTGTCAAAACAGATCTCAGCTACAATGTTCGAACCTCAAGATTCTCCTGGGGCTCTCACGCACAAGTGCACTCTTCGTTTGGGTGGTTGAGGATAAAAGGGAACCGCCTTCAAAAAACAACTAGGTCCTCCAGTAGAGAGGTTAGAATAAGGGTACCCTTTTTTCTGTAGTCTGTTTTAGTTGGGGAACCCTCCCCAAAAACAGGGTAAAAGGTACTGCTGGGGGACCTACACAAACAAAGGGCCCCACCGGAGGCCGTTTTGTTCCTGCTTCGATCAGTCTTCGCCAGAAAGCCCCCGAGCAGAAGCCGAGCTCGCCGTGGCCCCCGCCGTCTTCAGGTTGGCAAAGTTCATGGCGTACTGCCGCAATCTGTGGGGAACAACCTGAGGCGGAGATAGACTCGGGCGGCTTCTCAATTTGGAACCTCACGCGATGGGACACAGCATTCACTTGAAAAAGGGGCCTTCAAAGGTCCGGAAGGGTGGTGGCTTGGTTTTCGCACTTCCAGGGTCCCAACAGCTGCTTCTTGGAGCTTGGGACTTTGCACATGGGAAGGTGGCTGGTTTCCCTTCTCCCTTTCCAAACAAGCCTAGGGCTACCCTTAGAAGACATCCTCAAAGGGGCCCGCACCCAACCCAACTCTCACCCAACAACAGATACGAACAGCCCTTGGGGTTCTACGCATGGGTAGAATGAGACGCTGGAGGGTCCCTGGAACCGAACACCAATTTCAATCTCGTGTCGGCTAGTTTGGGGCTGGGCAAAAGATGTTGTATTGGGGAGTCTTCATTCGTAGAGAAAGATATGTCCTTCAATTCGAGGACCCCCACCTTTGTGCAAGCCATATGTCCTCGGGAAGAATATTGTTGGGGCAAAATCTATCGCCCTTTGTTCGGGGGCAGGATAATTTTCGGGCCACCGAGGTAATCGCAGACTCCAAGTCGATGATGTTCATCAGGAGGTCCGTGGCCGCCATGCGCAAGCCCCGCGCAAGATCTTGCGCCCCCTGCGCAAACGAAGCGCTATGGCGCCCTTGTGGGGTTGACCATTTAAGTCGGGATGACCAAGAAACCCGAAAGCCAGAGAAATGGGACTCAACCAAGTGGGATAAGAGAGGAATCCACTGAACAAGAAACTACACAAAAGGGGAACCCATTTGCGGGGTTCTAGGCGAAGATCGATAAAACCGAAAATGAAGTTAGAGGGTGCCACCCAATTGGTAGATGGAGCCTACACTCGGGCTGGTCATTTTTGCAAGGACTTCTTTGCTCAAGTTTGGTACACCTCCACGAGGCATCCGTCTGAGAGAAAAAGCAAGTCCGATGAAATTATGAATCTATGTGTGTATATGTCATGTCCAACAAGGCTGTCCAAAAGAACCATCCTGATCCCCGCCCCTCCAGTCCCTGCATTGCAAAGTCGGGATAACCCAATTTGTGCTTGACCGTGCTGCTTGGCTGTGCCAAGGTCTTCAGATTCATTGGTTCATGAAGAAGCAGTTTGAGGGCAAAGTTCCAAAGTAGGTCAGAGAGCGAATGTATACGTCCATATATGAGGTCTGGCATGGTGAACTACGGTTTAATTCTGCAAAGCCAGCCTCCAAATAGGTCTCCCCATTATTGTCCTAATAAACGTCACCTCACAAAGAGAAACTAACCTAGAAGTGACCCAAAACCTGATGTGTAAACCCAATCTACGTGTCGGAGCAGTGATCTGCTCGAAGGAATCTAAAAACCTTGAAGGCTGGAGCCCAGTGATCATAGTTTGCTGCGCCGTCCATGTGCAAGCTGGAAGGGCATCGTTCATCCTGTCTTCTTGAAACATGCTGGGTATGAGGTATGCAGCCAGCAACCAGCAAGCAGCAAGCAGCAGCAGAACCTGTTGCAACATTGCAATCATGCACCGGCCACCTGGATCCTCAAATGTTGCAAATGTCATCCCGCTTGCATGACCTATATTCGAGCGACAAACAAGTGGGTCCAACCCAAGTCCCAGACCACCTGTTCATCTGTCTCATGTATCAGAAAATCTGCCCACATGCCAACAACCACTTGGAGGTACCCGTTGGTTTGCCAAACCGTGGCTCTGGCACTCTTTAGCCATCGGTACAAAACCCAAAGTCTGCGACATCAACGGATTCCAAACATGTTTCAAAACTGGGGCACCCGTTTTCTTTTTGTGGCGTCCTCGCAGTTTCCCTTACCAACCTGACAAGGGCATCCTCGAAACAATCACTAGGGAAACTCGCCTATGGGGGTATGGACAAAAACGTGTTTTGCCCGGTGTACGCCACCAACAAAGAAAGTGTGGGTCTGTCACGGTACCCTCTTTGGGTGGTTTTAAAGGGAAACAGAAGGAACACCTGTCAGGGTCCCCTATTTTGAGACAACCCCAAAGTACTGTGGATGGACGAAATCCTGCACCACTGTTTGCTGGTATTTCCAGGGTAATCATCATTCCAGGGGTTGTTAGGAGGTGCAAAATGGATTTCGTCCATCCACTTGGGGACCTGTTCCAATCCCTGGAGGGCGCCTTGTCCCGGCCGTGACGCTGCAGGTGAGACCTCCATCGATTTCGATCGACGACGATTCGCGGATTCCCCGGAGCCGCGATTCGATGGGGTTGGACATCGCAAGTAACCCAAAGCCCCTCCGTTTGTAAAGACTCCAGAAGCAAGAGGCTATTTGGATGTGAAAACATCGGAACCCCCCAAAAAATTGGGCGCCTTTCCTTGTGGTTTCCCTTTAAGCCCTGAAAGCAGTAGGCTCCATAAACACACGCCCGACTTGGCAAGAACCAGTGAAATGATGTTTGTCTAAAAGGCCTCACTTTGAACCACCCACAACGACTGCCGTTTTGGGGGCGCTCGTGCATTGGATCTAAGCTTATCGTCTTCGCGTCCAAGTCAAGGCGGCGGGTGAGTCCGTAGATGGCTAGAACATGTGGGGCATGTGTCAAACTAGGGGGCTGGAGTTTAACAAAGGCAGCTTTCCTTTTGGTCTCCCTGTCGAAACTATACTAAAAATTCCCCAAATTTGTATTTGAGAGAGCAACCATGGGCGATTCGCCGCGAATCGGCCACACACAAAAAAAGCGGAAAACGAGGCCTCGAGTTCAGCACGGCGAAGAGCAGGCTGTCCACCTGGCCGACTCCCCGATGTCCAAGCCGAGGGCTGTGGGATACCGAAAGGGCCGAACCCTCAAGACTATCCGCCGAAAAAAAACAAGGGGAACAAAAAGGGGGGGGGGAGGAGGGGGCGGGAAAAAACACCGAGGGAGACTCCCACAAGTATCACCAGAAGGGGGAGATTCCCAGAAGCAGCACAGAGGTGGTTGGATAAACCCCGGGTGATCCCACAACCTTGGAACCGAACATCAGGAATCCCCATTCGTATGCTTGTCAGGGGGAACCCGCAAAAGGCACCAGATTGGCTCCAGAATCATCATGCAGCCTAAGCTAGGAATAACAAGCACACTTGCTTCAAACATGGGCCGGTAATTCGGCAGCGTGAACAGTGGCTGCTGGATGGGAAGGCTTTTTCAGCCCGACCATCTGGATGTGCGGCTCTGCGTTTGGGAGGTCAGCGCGGAGACACATCCCAAGTTCCTTAACATCCCAACAAGAACCCTTCACCTGGGAGTAGGGGTATAGCCGGTATAGCCATAGGGTTGTAAGAGGAACCCCAGGAAAGGTCCCTTCTTCTAGTTTTTTCTTGAGCACACTCACAAAAGGTGTTCGAACTGTATTTTCATCTGTTCAACAATGGAAGCGCACATAAGTGTGTTGCAATACTAACATCATCTAAGGGTTCCCTGTGCACTCCCATAAATGTGTGGAAAGCGGATACCTCAGCAAGCTGGGTTGTCTGCTTTGGACAACCGTAGTGGGTGGACAAGTGTTGGGAGCCACAAAAAGTGTAGGTGTCCTCTTGGAGGCGGGCTCACCACGAATCCAAAGGAAATCGTTTGGGGGGCTCAACGCGAATGCCAAGGGTAACCATAACCCCCCCCCCCCCCGATTTCGTGGGTTCCCTTTCAAGCAAGCATTGTTTTGAGCAGATGGAGGGTCGGATTTCGAGACAAGGATAAAGATTCAAGCCGCAGATCAGGTGGTAACAAGTTGGGAATCCGTATACTTTAGGTCGGCTTACAGCTGGAGGCAAAAACAAAAGATCATACAATGCAACACATGCACCCGTGGACTCAGCACTTAGATGCTTGACCTTTCGCCTTTCAACTATTGTGCTGTCAAGGAGACACAATATGCCAAACACATGTCTCGGAGCGGATAGAACCAATTCAACAAAAGGAACATGTGTCCTCAATTGTGTATTTGGGTGTGTTGTTTGAGTGTACCTTTGAGCTGTATTGGGACACCAAAGGTAACCAACCATCCATTTTGGAAGATTCCTCATTGAGAGATGACCCCGGCTGCGGGAATCACGAAACATATCACCAAAGATACTCACTGGTGAGCCCCAATCACTTAATTTGGAAACAGCTGCCGCCGCACTGTTGATTCGTTGCGGTAGACTCCTCTCAGGATTAGATTATAACTCACTGCAGTTGGATTGGAATCTTGCCTTGCATTGACGAGAGCGAAAGCAGTAGTGAGTAGCCACAAGAGGACACCTTTCAACTGCCCGGAGTCATGAACCTTCCCTGAGACTCGCAGTGCTCGGAGATAAAAGTGGTTGTGTCTCAGTAATGTTGACCCCGACTGGAGTAATGGGGTGGCGGTTTTCTTTTTGGCGTCCCTTTAAACTAACCTACAAGGCAACAAAATAAAACACAAACCATAAACAATGACCATGGCTGGCATGGGGAGCTCATCAGCCAATGTCACACACCCAACCGCACCACCAGCTGTCCTCAATGCACCGATTCTTGGAACTCCGTGGCAGTTCTCGCTGGAGTTGTAGCATCCACGACCACACTCGAAAACCAATTAGAAGCATATGTCGAAACAGTGCTTCCATCCCCTTCCGATTCCTGCAAAAACTGAATGACACTAAACCACAAAACTGTAGTAAACAAAATCCCAAAAAATGGGCGTCCAAGCTCCGTTTGACAAAAATTGGGGCATCCAGACGTCCCAATTCCACGCCGGTCCCGGCTCTCGCCTGGTGCCACCGATCCGAGATCACCAGCCACATCAGCGGCGAAGGCTGCTGGTCTCAGGGGCGCTTCGAATGGGTGTGTTTTTCTTTGAGGGTACGCGTTTCTTTGGGGGGGGGGGCAAGGGGGTTAAAGGGAAACCACAAGGAAAACAACGCATTTTGGGGTCCCCTAAAAGAAGACACACCCAAAGACACGCCCAAAATCGGGGAAGGGGACCCTATGATGGTGGGTGTTTTTCCCTTGGGAACCAAAGAAGGGCACCCTCAAACACAAAGACCCACCCAAGTAGACCCAGCACCCCAGCCCAAGCTGCACCTCCTGGTTCAGAAACTTCTTAGGGGCTCTTAGGGCTTCATCGCCCTCCGAACGCATAACTCTAAACTCGTCGAAAACCGACTTTGAAATCGTACACTGTTATATAGCCATGGGTCAAAATCCCGTACCCGCAGTGAACATCCCAATCCCGACTAAAAATAGACTAAAATGGGTGGTGCACCTACCCCAAAATGGTACCAATGGCTTTGACCCACAGCCATATGATGGTTTTCAGTTCAAGGCCCGCTTGAACACATGTCCCCTGACTTCTCCTATGCTGAGCCCTCTTTAAAGGTCATCTGCAAAGGTTGCCCTTGCAATTGGAGCGCAACAGGATGGAAGGCGCAATTCTGCATTACGTAGGGGACCCTCGGACCAGAGCAAAAAAAGAGTTGGCAGCCCAAATCCGGAAAGAGGGGACCCCTACAAAATATGAGTTGCTTCAGGGAATTGCTTTGATCGGGGGGAGCGTTTTCTTAAGGAAACTGGATGAGTCTTCTTTAGCCAGGCCGTGATTCATACCCAAAACTATTTGCAAGGTCAGCAATGGGTGTGAAGACCGTCTGAAACGATATCTCGTAGTGGGCACCCTGGACTTTTCTAACCCCCTGGCTGATTAAGGGGTGCCGCTAAGGGACTGGTGTGGGGGTTCATCGCTAGAAGGGAAACGCCCCCCTATTAATATGAAAGGTTTATTGACCCGGGGTCAAAATTAGCTTGCTGGAAAGCTGCACTGCTTGGGAAACAGTAGTTCGCCTCTGAGCTTTTGACAACGATCTTTCGAAAGCTCCGCGCGACACACATATCGACATTTGATACAGTATATGCTTGTGCACACATCTGGATTGATGCAAACTGCGCAAGTATGGAAACCTAAAGCGGGAATGAATACAAATCCTCACTTTTTGGCCACATCGCCTCTTCCATCTGCCATTTTCGCTGTCAACATTACCCAGAACGTCAATTGAGACAGGGGCCACTGGCTTGCAGAACATTCTGAAAACAGGCAGTGAGTAGAAGGTCGAAAGGAAAAGCTAGTGACGGCACACCGTCACACGTGGCTAAACGGGAAATGTATCAAGCTCAATTGCTCCGGGGATCCTCAATCAAGCTCGATGACTTCCCCAATCGTAAGGCGGCTTAGTTCAATTGCTCTGGCTCGCTTACAAGTCTGGGCATTCAGCCTGTTCTGCAGACCTAATAGGCGTCCCAGATAGAAAGGTTGTGCAGTTGATCACTCATCATGTACTCACAATCAGGGCGTTCAGCTTTACTTTGCATTTGACAGACACACTACCATGCAGTACTTTCCAGATCCGCCACACATGTTCAGCAGCGGGCGTGCTGGGCATGAGGTTGAAGCACTTTTCGAGGTCAAGTACAAACCCACGAGTCTTCTCAAAGTACCTTGGATACACACGTCCTCCGCACCTCGACCAGGTAGGCCGCCCGCAATGTTGGGGGGCATATACGCGGGACAATCGTGCCAAATCTGATTTGCACGAATCTTTGCCCACAACCGGTACATGATAGAAAAGATCGTGATCGGTCGAATGTCCGTCAGCGTCGTGGGGTCCCCGTTCTTTGGAAGCAGGACGACTTTGGCAATCGCTAGGACTTGTGGCCAGACGCCGTGTCTGACATGAAGCCATGATGGTCTGCTCAGTTTCAGTTGCAAGGCTTTAGCTTCAATGAATAGCAAGTGAAAACACATGGAAACCCACAGGCAGCCACTTGTAGAAAAGCTATGTCGTAGAATTCCCTTTTGGGTCCCAGGAAAACCTCAGGCGAATAGATAATACAGGCACAACACTCAGTGTTGGTGTTAACAACCTGACCATGTCCTAGCCCGACAAAAGTAGTCACTTTGCCACATCACAGGATTCAAGCAGGTGTCCAAGACGCGCCATTTTAAGGCGCGCCACTCAGTATTCGAGTAGTCATAGAGACAGATGGTGAAGCGCTCCTTGAATCATGAATCATGAGATAAAACCGTAAAGGAATCCGGCTACTGGTCAACGTCCAAACGGTCCCTTTTAGTACGCTGCTTAACTTAGATGTGGCTTTCGCTTCGGAGCCTTCCCTGCAGGAAGCCCGTTACCCACCTTGATGTGTCAGACTGTCCGCTCGCTGCGGCGAATAGCGAATAGCGAAAGGGCAAAATTGCCTGATCAGAAAACGGCCTAAAGTGCCTCCGACACCAAATACCCACTCGTCCTTGGGAACAGTTGGAAGCAGTCAATTTGGCGTCCTTGGTCCAAGGCAATCACCTCTTTTAGTCAAGGGTTGACAGCCCACCCCCTCGCAATGCTTAGAGGCCGGGTAAAATAAGCTCTGGGGCTCGGACGATGATAAGGATACATGATTGACCTCGAGCTGTGCATCTTGTTGACTGATATGGCTGACTTTCCACTCCAACAGAGGGCTAACTTTTGAGCGGGTAAGCCACCTCTAAAGTCCTAATCATCCGTTTCCCATCACAGGTCTGCTTCACTTGCTCATGCGTGCGAGGACAAATAGGCAAGTATGTTTGTCTCCAAATCTGCAGCCCCGGACTCAGCTCCTCTTTTTTCTTGCGTTCACCTCAAAAACGACACCCCGGCCCCGAATGGGAATGGAATCTATTGTGCAGCTCCATAGCCGTTTTGAGGCGGGGGTAGGGACCAAATTTGCTCAAGCAATATCTGCTTGCACATACGTGCTAGCATCAAAACCAACAAGCAGGTGTCCAAAGTGTTCGTTCCTCCGGGCATGGCTGGGTCGAAAACCTGTTGTAATCATAGGTGTTTGGCAAAGTAGATGGGGTTGCCTGGCAAATGGGGCTAAAACCAATCTAAACCAGTGGAACCCATCTATTGACAAGGTCATAATCCTTTGAACCATGTCCGAGCCTCAAGAAAATAGGGTGATTTCTGTCAAACAGGGCTCCTACCCCAGCACCCAATGACTGCTGGTTGGACGTTTTTGGGGTCTTGGGCATGGGACAAAGTCGCTGGAGCGTGGTCGCAGAGTTTCCCTATCGATTATCAGAGCCCATCTAGTTACGAGAAGATTGAGGCTGTGCACAACTTCAAAACAAACAACAAGTCATGATCGGAGAATAATTCTTTCAGCCCCTTGTGTCGGCTTCTTGCGATCCCTCTTGCTGGCTTTCCTCTCGCTGCGGCCCGTGCTCCTTGCGCTCATTGGCCTCCTCCATCGGGGGGATGTCCCTGTCCTCAAATGAGCAACGCACAGAACTCTTCTTACTTGAAGTAGCTCTCTCAGCGGTCTGTCCAAAACCATGTCAGCGGCCACAAAGGTTACCGCACCCATCCTGCGGTTGGCTATGTGCCCCTCTAATGTTGGCCCCGGATGAACGAACCTTGCCGATTCACAGGGGGATGCTTCCCAACTGAAGGATCCCACTAACATGGGCCACCCCGAACAAATCAACAAGATACTTTTTCATGCTGGGTTCGTTACACTGCAATGCGCCAGGTGTTGGCTTCTCATCTTCTCTCACCGTGACTCATATACCCAAGCTGATTTCGCCCGAGTCCCGCACTGTAGGCAGCATGTGCCGCGACCTCACGGAGCCGGTCTCTAAGCCCCCAAAAGCCGCATACCGACAAACGTTATGGCTGCAACCATCCTGGTTTCTGACGATTTCCCTGAAACTGCCAACAAAAAACGGCTTCGACCATTGCAGCTCATTTCGTGGTGCAGGGATTTGGATTTCGTGTCATCAGTATGAAGATCCCAGTCTGGAGTTTGGGACCAGATCTGAGGTTCGGGGGTCCCGAACCTTGGCACTTCCAGCAGGTTTGGGCCGCTGACCCATGGCCCGAAATGGGAACACCAAATGTCCAGGGTCTTTGGGCCGGTTTTCGACCACTGATGAACCAGTATCCTCTAATCCGGAAAGCGTTGCTCAACCTGGCCCCTTCTCAATCTCAATCTGTGGGTGAATGTAGTGCTCAACTTGGCCGGGTCCGATCCCTTAAACGTGTGCCCGTCACTTCGATCTTCAACCTTCCACCCTAAGCTACTGCTTGGATGGTGCATGTTTGGCTCAGTTTCCGTGGCCATCTTTCCATCTTCCCAACCTGCAAAATGATGTGATGTCACACTGCAAGACCATGTCACATCTGGGTGAAGCGTGCTTCATTGGACCGACGGGAAGCTGTCTATCCACTGGGAACCGCACACTGAACAAACTACCAGTTGAAAGATAGGGCGAGTCTCTTTCGAGGGAATTCCCTATGTTGAATCGACAGGGCAGCTTGAATATGTCTCTATTCACCAGGGTACCCGACGCAAAGCTTCTTCCCTTTGGTGCTGCTAACGGGACGCCCCAAAAGTCCATGAGAGAAAGTCAGTTGGCCTCTCCAAGTCACAAAATTAAACTTCCAGGGCTTCCCTTGAGGTGGCAACGGGTGTATGAATATATCTATATATCCGCCGACATTGCTCGGCGTGTCGGATACTTACTAGAGGATAGAGGATAACCCCCCCCCTAACCCCCCCCCGCCCGACGTCTATTACGTAGGTTTTTGGGGGGGGGGGGGGGGTCCCCCACGTACCGCGCGGCAATTTGATGACGTTC